GCAGCAAACATGCAAGGACATACCTGCAATGAGGCTTGCTGGGCTTTTGGCAGCCCAAGTGCCGATCCGCTTCCTACGACGAGCGTGGCAGCATGAGGGGTTGACAGTGAATGGGCGCATCAGCTTATGACTATGGAAATGGATCCTTTCGACGATTACCAGCTTACGACAGTGATGAACCTTTTGCAAGAAGATACTCGCCACACCACTTTCCAGGCTTTTTGCAGCGATGCAAATGATGTCAATTCGCTTCTTACGACCATGACGGCAGTGCAACAAGATACCTGTGGTTCCAGTTCCCTGGCCTTTGGTGGCACCAGATGCCTCAATCCTACGACGACGTCGACGGCAATGTAAAATGATACCTGCAATGCGGCTTGCTGGGCTTTTGGCGGCCCAAGTGCCGATCCGCTTCCTCCGACGAGCATGGCAGCACGAGGGGTTGACAGTGAATGGGCGCATCAGCTTATGAATATGGAAATGGATCCTTTCGACGATTAGCAGCTTACGAGCGTGATGAACCTTGTGCAAGAAGATACTCGCCACACCACTTTCCAGGCTTCTTGCAGCGATGCAAATGATGTCAATTCGCTTCTTACGACCATGACGGCAGTGCAACAAGATACCTGTGGTTCCAGTTCCCTGGCCTTTGGCGGCACCACATGCCTACCGCCGCCTTTGTCATCGACATTCCTTCCGCCGCATCGCCACCCTCAACTACCGCCACCGTTCAAGCTCAACCATCCACTTCCCTGGCTTTCGACTAAGACGAAGTTGTCATTCCACAGAATGGCATCTGCTGCGCCACTGAATCCCGGCTTTTCACAGCGACAGAAATGCCAATGCGCTTCCTCCAACAGCAGCGAACATACGAGAAGATACCCGCCTCACGGCTTCCTCGGCTTTTGGTGGCGCAAACGCTGGTCCGCTTTCTCCGACGGCAGCACACATGGTGGACCCTAAATGGGCGGATCAGTTGAAGAATATGGAGATAAGTCCGTTGGTCAAGTACCTCTTGTGTACGGTCGTCAAGCAACGCGCTTGAGCTCTTCATGCAAGGAACAACGTCTTGGAGCCGCACCCGGAAGAAATTGCACCCAATTGGCCTTATTAGTTTCTGAGACTTTTAGCCCCTGTACTAGCTTGTTACTTGGAGAATTGCTGAACATCATGTTTTTCATTGCAACAATTAGCTCTCCTCGGTCGATGTAACCATTATGACTATGATTATATATGAAATGTTCGTGATCTTCGAGATAAGTTTTGCTCATACAGCTCCAGATCAAAATCAGCAAAATGCCCCGATGATGATATTTGTATCGATTGTATACTTTCTGTAGTGGCACTGAATAGCCTTTGTTCACTTGCTCTTTCAATTATATGTTTATATGAATAATCGTGTTAAAACCATTTCTCTTAGTAGCGGACACCGAAACTTTGAACTATCAATGGAGCGTCACTCGGTCAAACATGTCGGTTTCGTAGAACTCCCGCTACAATGGTTGTGGCTAGACCTGTCAAATGAATGGATCGAGTCAGATTTGGGTCGGGTCACAAATGGTCCGACCCAAATTGACCCAGTATAACCCATTTATGCACAATGCAATTTTCTTGACCCATACCCGATTCGACCCATACTCGATCCATACCCAATCCGACCCATATTACTAAAACACTTCTATATTTAACTAAATTTAGGAAAACTGATACCTAAACTAATATGAGAGTGCGGAGTGAGTAAGCGCAAGATTGAGTGAGGGCGAGAGAGATGAGTTAAGTTTAAATAAGTTGTAAACTAATTTATGACTCGTTTACGACCCATTTAACACCCATATTATACCTATACCTATTTATGACTTATTTACTACATATAACTAACACATTTATGACTCATTTACTAATATATGGATTAAGACATAGGTTTGTGACTCATTTTGACAGATCTAGTTATGGCAATGCGGACTCATGATACGTGGCGGGGCACAGCAAACACTACGTAATTTCTCATGTTGGTTTCTAATTTTGCATTTCATTCCACTGTGTCAATTTTTCGACCCAATGAAGCGATATAATCACTTAGTGTTTTTTTTTTCTTTTTTGGGTCGTGAATCACTTAGTTCATTGGCACTTGATACAATCACCAGGCAAGACTGACTTTAATCCGACGGCATTTGTCAAACCACATCAGCGAGCCACATCAGCAAGGCATGTTAGGTAGCAAATTCAGGGAGGCCTGGTCGGGTTTTGGTCAATATACCGAAGGATATAGACAGAAGCTTGTGGTTCCAAACTGGAATGCGCCCGTCAAGTCGTCGGGGTACACGTCGTGGTCACCTAAGGCCTTATGAGGTGCACTTGGAAGAGATGGTGAGGTTCATTTGGAAGAGATGGTGAGGTTCATAGCCATTTTGCTCCGTGGGAGGGGGCCGTTGAGATTCCGGTGAGGATTTGAGAAGGTTCGCAGAACTTGCCGGGATCCCCCGTCACTAGTAGTTTGGGGAGGTCTTTGACTCAAGCTCGGGTGAGCTATCACTTCGTATGCTCGGAATGCACGGTTCCGTGTATGCAAATGTGATCTGTTGCTGACCTTCGGGGGGAGGATCGACGAATGCGACAGTCAAGCCAGAAGCTCTTGCTTACCGAGCTAAGTTGTTCGCATCAATATCGAGCCCATCGAGATAAACAAGAATAGCAGCAGCCTCCCGTTTCTATGGGAGCGAATGTCGAATTGGATCTGAGAGGGATGGACCGGTGGTAATAGTATCTTCTGGTCATGGTGTGATTATTCTTGTGTAGTGTTTTTACAGAAATTTTGCAGCAGTCATGTCATGAAGTGAAGATTTCAGATCATAGCGTGGTCTTGGGATGTGGATCTGATGAGTTGTGAGAAATTCATGCTGGTGTAGAGGATCCTCATTTGAGGTAGTCAGTAGTCTCTCTTAGCATTTTCGTAATATGCATAATCAATATATATTGATTCACAGAAAGAAAATCCGATACTCCTCTTGTTTGCCCTATTGTATCTGATATCAGAGTAGAATACATATAAACATACACATCTTTTAGAGAACCTACTCAAATTAGGAATCTCGCTCAAACTATAAACATATTCTCAACAGAGGGTATTTCAGTCTTTGGACACAAAGTTAAAAATTAATTTTTATGTACTGAATAAATATGTTATATAGATTGCTATGCATCATAAAACACGTTAAATGGTAAGTCTTGTCGTATGAAAGTAAAATTGGTCGTTGCTATTTAAAAATTATTAGTGTATCAAAGATTATTTACTAATTGTTATACGCACCTTTTAAACATATGAGTATTTTATATATGCAACATGGAATAAGAGGTTTAAACAAGAACAATTTTGTGAACTCAACGCCTTGCTCAGTCTGATGTATTAGTCCTGAATCTAACCCTGCAGAAATGACAATCTTCAAATCGACTCTCATATGTCTTATTAGGATTTTGTTTAAAAGAATGTCCATAAGAAATTTGTTAAATAATCAAATAAAAAAATATTATCATTTTCAATGCACTAACTATCGTCGTAATATGCACAATTAATAGATTGAAAATAAAAAAAATTGCTTATTTAACAAGTACCATTTGAGCAGTGATTAACAAGATCCATTTTAGTAATGTATAACCAACTTACTTGACATTTATTATTTGAGAAAGTACTATTATTCGTTGAATTTTACCAATCTTAGTTGCTTGATCTGTGATTTGAGCAAAGGATCTCTAGAATTTTTCCATTTGAAGGGGTTTGAATTTTAAGCATAAATTTTAGTAGGTTCATAATCATTGGAAAATCTCAGGTGTTATACATCTTCCAACTCATATCCTAAAGTACTAGAATCATTACATGTGGAAAATCTATAAGCACATGGTAATTTAAACACTGTATGGCATGTCTGGCGGATTGAATTTTACTCTTAATTTTTTCTTTAATCGAATCTCACTACCGTACGTTTTGACAACATACAAATGTTGGCACGTAAACTCCCTTATACTTTTGCATTTTTTTTTTTAAATTTGGATGATCTTCAAATTTTGGAGGGAAATCAAAAGAATATTTTCACTTTTGCTAATCAAGAACAAATAGGCCCTACAATTTATTCCTACAAATGAAGTTATCAGGTATTATCCAGAAGTTATAAAATTGAAAAGTGACAAAATACAAAGGCAATTGGGATTTATGAATATGATTTAAACAAATGTATAGACATTTACATGTTTAAAGTCACATTACTCCTAGTTTGCACGGGCAAATGATCTCCTATTAATTTTTGTGTGCATAAGAAGAAAACATTCGAAAATATAGTTATATCTAGTTGGCCAGCCATTGACCCATTAATCAATATCTTTACTAGCTTTTCTTTTTCCATTTTTTCTTCATCGTTATTGACTTGATTATCAAATAATCAAAGAAATCCAAATGATATAGTTGGCCATGCCAGGATATTGCTAAAAAAGGAAAGACGTTTTTTTTAACCTTTCGAGAATTTATGCAAGAACCTCATTTGTTTGAGGATAAAGTTCCTAAACTAGGTTGACTTTCCGTTAGCGCAGTTGTTTTAGTTGAGTATTTATCCAAGAATCTATGAAGTATATAATGAATTGTCACGAAAGATGGACCGAAGATTATCCACATGAAATTTGAACTATTGACCGGAAAAGGTTTGACATGAAGTAATGTTTGAGGTCGGGTTTGAATTGGCTATGGATAACAATGGCTTTGAATTAGTTAAGTCCTCCAATAATCTCACGCCAAGCAATCCAGTTTATCCAAGAATTGTCAAGATTCAAGATAAATACTCCATCAAATATGGGACGGTGATCTCCAATCTGTGTACATTAATCCCGTAGCCTACTTGGTCCACGTTTATAAAAAAAAAAGCACATGAGAGCCAACAGCGAACATCTCTGGTTCGAAAACAACAAAAGCCAGAGAAGAAGAAAGAGATTTTGTCATCGCTTTTGAGTTCAATACGATGGCGATTTGGTATCGCGGACTTTGCTTTCTACCCACCGATGATGAGCTCTTTTTCGATTACTTGATGCGGAGGCTGAATCGAGAACCGTTGCCTGATCCAGACGTCGTCCGCGATTGCGACGTGTACGGCGGCGGTGATCCCTGGAAGATCTTTGGCAAGGACCGAGACGAGAAGTTCTACGTTTTCACCACGTTGAAGAAGAAGAACAAATCGAGAGTGGACAGGACTGCTGGCTCGGGTACTTGGAAGGGCGAACAGAGTTACAAGATCAGGGGTTCGCAAGGTGAGGTAGTCGGCTACAAGAAACTCTTTACCTTTGAACCGAAAGCTAGCTCGAGCGGGGAAGCCGACAAGGCCGAGAATGGGCACTGGATCATGTACGAGTACTCGAAGCATCCGCACAATGTATGTGTTTCTTTCCCTATTCTGTTCGGTTACTAATCATCCGAATACATGTTTGGTTGCTATATCTTCCTTAATGCTTTTGTCGATATGAATACCTTAGGCACGATATTCGTTCCATGTCAACGTTTCACAATCTTGTATGTTTGAAGGTGCTCATTTACTTAATTCCGGTGCTCTTTATGGATCCTAACTAGTTCTATCCAATTCAAAAGCAGTAATTGGGGTTTGATCGACGATATAAATGTGTGTATGATCCATCTACAATGGACCGCGAATATGATTAGGGTATAAAAATCAATCGGTTAATTGCAAAAGGCCACAAATAACTATCTTCATTATGATGTGATTGATCTGGAGAGTGTGCTTTTGTCGTAACGCCATTGTGGCCCTCGCTATAGGTTGCAAATACATTCTTAGGGCACAAATATTCTCTCAGTTTTTATATACGTATTTTTGTTGTTTAATTCTTTTTTCCCTTTTTTAATCAAAGGAATTAGACAATTTATTCAGTTTAAATATAATGCAGGAAACGGAGTGCGTCTTATGCGTAATCAGCAACAAATACGTGTGCCGGAATCCGCACGGCCGAGTGCAATTTGAGGAAGAGAATCGACAAGCAAAGAAGGCACGGTCTCTCCGCGATGATCACACCGCCGTCGACGTTCCTTCCGCCCGATCGCCACCCTCAACTACCACCACCGCTCGAGCTCAACCATCCACTTCCCCGGCTTTCGACAAAGACGAAGTTGTCATTCCACAGAATGGCATCTGCTACGCCACTGAATCCCCGGCTTTTCACAGCGACAGAAATGCCAATTCGCTTCCTCCAACGGCAGCGAACATACGAGAAGATACCCGGCTCACTGCTTCCTCGGCTTTTGGTGGCGCAAACGCTGGTCCGCTTTCTCCGATGGCAGCACCCATGGTGGACCCTGAATGGGCGGCTCGGTTGAAGAATATGGAAATAAGTCCGTTGGTCAAGTATCTCTTGTGTACGGTCGTCAAGCAACGCGCTGGCGCTCTTCATGCAAGGAACAACGTCTTAGAGTCGCACCCGGAAGAAATTGCACCCAATTGGCCTTATTAGTTTCTGAGACTTTAGCCCCTGTACTAGCTTGTTACTTGGAGAATTGTTGAACATCATGTTTTTCATTGCAACAATTAGCTCTCTTTGGTCAATGTAAAACCATTATGACTATGATTATATATGAAATGTTCGTGATCTTCAAGATAAGTTTTGCTCATACAGCTCCGGATCAAAATCAGCAAAATGCCCCGATGATGATATTTGTATCAATTGTATACTTTCTGTAGTGGCACTGAATAGCCTTTGTTCACTTGCTCTTTCAATTATATGTTTATATGAATAATCGTGTTAAAACCATTTCTCTTAGTAGCGGACACCGAAACTTTGAACTATCAATGGATTGTAACTCAGTCAAACATGTCGGTTTCGTAGAACTCCCGCTACAATGGTTGTGGCTAGACCTGTCAAATGAGTTGGTCGGGTCAGATTTGGATCGGGTCACAAATGGTCCGACCCAAATTGACCCATACCCGACCTGGCCCATACTCGACCCATACCCAACCCGACCCATATTGCTAAAACACTTCCATATTTAACTAAATCTAGGAAAACTTATACTTAAACTGATATGAGAGTGCGGAGTAAGTGAGCGCGAGATTGAGTGAGGGCGAGAGAGATGAGTTAAGTTTAAATAAGTTGTAAACTAATTTACGACCCATTTGACACCCATATTATACCTATACCCATTTATGACTCATTTATTACATATAACTAACACATTTATGACCCATTTACTAATATATGGATTAAGAAATAGGTATATGACCTATTTTGACATGTCTAGTTGTGGCAATGCGGACTCATGATATATGGCGGGGCACAGCAAACACTATGTAATTTCTGATGTTGGTTTCTAATTTTGCATTTCATTCCACTGTGTCAGTTTTTCAACCCAATGAAGCGATATAATCACTTGGTTTTTTTTTTCTTTTTTTGGTCGTGAATCACTTAGTTCATTGGCACTTGATACAATCACCAGGCAAGACTGACTTTAATCCGACGGCATTTGTCAAACCACATCAGCGAGCCACATCAGCAAGGCATGTTAGGTAGCAAATTCAGGGAGGCCTGGTCGGGTTTTGATCGATATACCCAAGGATATGCACGGCCGCTTGTGATTCCAAACGGGAATGCGCCCGTCAAGTTGCCGGGGTACGTGTCGAGGTTAACCTAAGGCCCGAGGAGGTGCGCTTGGAAGAGATGGTGAGGTTGATAGCCATTTTGCTCCGCCGGCGGCGACTGTTGAGATATTCCGGTGAGGACTCGAGAAGGTTCGCACAACTCGCCGGGATTCCCGTCACTAGTCGTTTGAGGGGTCTCAGAAATATTCCAATGCTCGGATGATCCGTCGCTTCATACGCGCGGAATGCGCAGTTCCGCGTACGCAAATGTGACCTGTTGCTCGCCTTTGGGGGTTGGTTCACCGATTGCGCGACAGTCAAGCCGGAAGCTCTTGCTTCCGGATCCGTCGCTTCATATGCACTCGCTTCATATGCACACGCTTGCGTGAAGATTTCAGACCAAAGATGTATGCCATGTTACGAACTTGTTGTGAAGAAGTTCCTTAGAACAAGACCGTTGCTTTTCTCTTTATTGATACCAATACGTATGTACAAGGAACGAATGCAAATTCCATTCAACCACCGGCGAACAGTAAAGAAAGAATGCCGGTTAACAATATAGAGACGGACAAAAAGGTAACCCCTATGCTTAGTTTTTCTGAGAGTTTGGGACCGACGTACTTGATATTTGGTACTGAAATGAATTCCGACCCAAGACTCGTGCGCTTTTGAGGAGATGATTAAGCACCGAACTTGGGGACTTTGGCGGTCGAGATCTGGGCGAGGAAATGCTCCGCCACGATCCGGCGCTGGATCTTCCCGGAAGCAGTTTTCGGGACGGCGTCCGTGAGGAAAACCTTCTTCGGGACCTTGAAGCTTGCAAGGTTCTTCCTGCAGTACTGGATCACATCCTGCTCTGTTACCTTGGTACCTTCCCTCGGAATCACGGCACAATTTATCTGCACACGAACCAATCAGGACGTTGATCATTGCAATTATTTGGCCAAGAATTTTCACTTTTGTTTTCAAAACTTGTGCGCGAAATGTACTCTAAATTCCGACTGCTATCTCAAGAGATATTCAATCTCTCAGGAAATTGACAAACAGAGAGAGCTGATTCTTAACGAGGAACACTAGGTAACGCCAAAATGAAGAATGAACGGTTTGTTTACCTCTTCGCCATACTTATCATCCGGGACTCCGAAGGCAACTGCTTGGGCAATATCTGGATGTGCCAGAAGCACAGCATCGACTTCAACTGGGGATATCTTCTCTCCTGCAAAGCATAACCAAAGTTCAGCACACTGGCCACAACAAAGGATCTATCGAAGCTACTTTCGAAACGCCGTTATAGCAAACATAATTGGCCATATTTCGAAACTCCTATCAAGTTACCTCCACGGTTGATGAGTTCCTTGATCCGACCGACCAAATGCAAGTACCCGTCCGAATCCATAAACCCAACATCACCCGTATGAAACCACCCGAACTGGAAGGCCTGCTTATTTGCCTCTGGATTATTCTTATAACCCTTGGTCACGTTTGGTCCCCTTATGCACACTTCGCCGCTCACGCCCGCCGCCTGTATGGCCCCGTGCTCGTCCAAAACCGCCATCTCCTGCCCCACGGGTCTCCCGACCGACCCAGGCTTATGCTCGCCATCTTTGGGCAAGGGGTTTGAAGCCATCAGGTGAGTAGCCTCCGTCATTGCATAAGCCTCGAGCACGGGTGCATCAAATGCCTCCTCGAGCCGATCTAGGATAGAGGGCGCGAGTGACGCGCTGCAGCTCCTTATGAAACGCAGCCTCGGGTAAGCCGGCTCTGGCTTGCTGAGGTGGCGGTCCAGGATGATCTGGTGGATTGTAGGGACTGCTGTGTACCACGTGGCATTGTATGAAACCATATCTGCCCAAAATGTGGACGCCGAGAACCTACCAGCTGCCGGGAGGGCCACGGCAGCTCCGGCAACTAAAGAGCTCAACAATCCAGCAACCAAGCCGTGCACATGGAACAACGGAAGCACAATCACGGTAGAATCCGACTCCGTTAGTTTGTACACCGACTTGATGTTCTGAACCGACGAAGCCAAATTGAGCTGGGTTAGCGGCACGCCTTTGGGGCGACTCGTGGTGCCGGAGGTGTGCAAGAACAGAGCAACATCCGACGGATCGTTGACGACCTTGGACATCGCGTCGGGGCTCGGCTCCACGCCAGTCGAAGAGAGAGTGATTCTGGAATCGGCCGAGTGAAGCTTGGCGGTAACGTGGGGGATGTTGAGCTTGGAAGCGGCAGATTGAGCCGGCTGGTTTCCTTCATGTCCTGTCAATAGGAGCTTCGATTCCGAGTCGGAGAGGTAGAACTCGAACTCCTCGGCCGTGTAGGCGGAGTTGAGCGGAGCCGCCGTGGCCCGGCACCGGATCACCGCCAGAAACATGATCACAAACTGCAGGACAAGCACGCATTCCCGATCAGCAAACCAACATACCAATCCGACCAAAGAAAGTAACATACTAATCCCCGCGCGACGACGGAGATCGACCCACGCACGCACACATGTTTTCAGAACAGGCAGACAAATAGGTGGTCAGTGTTCGATTCAATCAAAACCACCCATCCCCTTTTATGGAAATCGACGCCATTCCCGTTGCTCTGTTCTCGAAGAACCGCAAAGCATTAAAGAACCATCTTCTTTTCACGCCTTAGCACAGTCGATCCTTCACAAAACGATCGACTCATCATCATCAGGAAGTCATCGCCATCGCGATCTTCCAGAGATGTCGCATTTTTTTCCGAATTCAAACGCCGTCGTCAGGACATCTTTCTCTCGTCCGAGATTCACACCCACCGCGCAAACGGAGACTCGCACCCGAAAAAGGGGGCATGCACGGCGAACGGGACATACCTCGACGGTGTTGGGGAAGGTGAGCGCGACGACGTCGCCGGGGCCGACGCCGGAGGCGGCGAGGAGGGCGGCGGCGTGGTCGACGAGCTCCCGCAGCCGCGCGTGCGTCAGGTCGAGATTCTCGCAGGCGGCGGAGACGGCCCGCCGGGCGGGGAATTCCGACGCCGCCTTCGCCAGCAGGCCCGTGAGCGTGTGCTTCTCCATCGCCGGATAACAAACCCGGTCGGCGATCGCTGTGGCGAGGCCGGACGCGGAGATCAACGGGAACGGATGCGCACGAACGGAGGAGACGGAGACGGAGACGGAGAAGAAGAGGAAGAAGGACGGAAACGAGAGTTCGATGGGGAGGGAGAGAGCGGAGAGGGTTTGCGTACGTTTATAGGGGGGGAGGATGGGAGATGAGATCGATGTGTGGCTCGCGGCCGGTGCTGGTTCGGTGAAGGCGACGACTGAGGGGGTGGGGCCCGCCGGGGGGGCCACGTGGCGGACCGGAAGGCACTGTGTGTCTTCGGGAGCTGCGCCAACTTTGCTTCCTCCTATCCCGTCGGTGTCCCGGCGCCACGTGGACACGCGCTGATGACAGCTCGGGGAGAGGGATCTGTGCGAGGAGGAGGAGGAGCTGCGTCTCGAGAACGCGAGCGGCACGCGGGACCGGGATCCGCGAAATCAACGGTTGTGATCGTTCCCCGACCTGAGTCGGTCTCAGAAAATTCTTCTCGAGTAGGGATTTCTCAAAAATTTCCTGGACCGGGAGCTGATCGAGAAATGTTGGTATCCGTCGAGTATCATAATCACATGAACCGGGTCAATCGTGTTGTTGATTACATAGACATGTATATGGATTTTCACTTGATTGCCATGACATTCGGTGCCCGTCATTGTAATTGACCCTGACCTCGAGCACCGACGAGGATTTTCAAAGAGGGGCAGATGATATGAGCCGGGCTCAAACGTACCAACCGTACGAGATACTTACGATGTCATGTGAAAAGTTTTTACTCGTATCAGACGCGTCTCTATTTATCGGCCGATATGGA